GCCACACACACACAACTAACTTCCTGAGACTCTGCTTCCTCATATGAGGACATAGACTTCCCTGCATAATATTTTTTTCTATTTAGGCCAGTTGTCCTTGTTTAGAGACATTTTCATTTATTCATATTTTTGTTTGTTTGTTTGTTTTTTTATTATTTGTTTGGTTGTTTTATACTTATTGTTCAAATCAATGTTTTAGGTTAGGAGACCTGTGTGTAAACAGCATTTTAGAGAGGCTGCATCTTTCAGAAGCAAAGAGTGGCAGAGGTCCAACAGTCTGAAAAACTGCTTCTAGAAATAGTGAGACCGTTCCAGAGTTTATGAAATGTGCAAATCATTATCTTCTGTTTTAACTTCCTTTTTGTTGTTGTTGTTCAGACCTGGGGCTGTAGATGTCTGTCTTCTGTCAGTAATAATATTGTTTTTCTTTTCCTTATAGAGTCATTACACACGAGCCCAGGCCAACAGCCCCCGCCCTGTGATGACATCATCGGGACCGAATCCTAAGAGTTCCCAGGGGGCGCTCGTCCCCCAGCAGCAAAGTCAACTGCAGCAGATCCAGCAGCCAATCAACCAGTCTCACCATTCACCAAGTGGGAATGGGCGGGAGCCGAGAGAGCATCGTAACTCACGCTCGTGCAGGAGGAAAGGGTCTGATAGCAGCGTTCCAGAAGAGGACAGGGACAGAAGAGAAGAGACCGTGGGCCGAGGTGAGGATATGTAGCACTGCATGGACTCTGCTCCCAGTTAGGTTCTGGTGGTACAATTAAAAGTATTTTATAGCTACAGCAGATTTCTGACTCTAAACTGGCCTTCCGGGTGTGAATGTGGATAAATGGCTGTTGGTCTCTATGTGGCCTCCTCATGAGTTTTACCCAAGGCACCACCTCCCTGCACATATGAATGTTTAATTAGTCAAACTAACTGTTTTACTTCAGAATGATTTTTGTCTTAATTGTTCAGGTTTTGTTCTCACATACAGGGGCAGCTGTGGCTGAGTGGTTAGAGCTGTTGTACAAAGTCATAGTTTCTTTATTTGTCATACACACCACATGTGGTACGTGGTGGAACGAAACTGTGCACACAGGGTCCCTGTTACAGCCAACAATCAAGTGTAAAAGAAAAACAGTTGTAGGGTTTAAGATGTGAACTAAGAAATAGGCTAAACTAAGAATACACTAGTCACTAATAGTACAAGACAACACACCGAACAACAGCTGCATGAACATGAGTCTGTGTGAGCACACGAGTACGAATAAATACAGCACAATGAAATAAATCATCAGCATGAGATCAGCAGCACGGATAATCAGCAGCACATATCAACAATCAAGTTCCATTACAGTGATTCTCCACAGTGATTATTCTGGTTAGAGATTCATGAGTCTAACAGTTTCAGGGTAGAAGCTGTTCCTCAGTCTAGTGGTTCTACACTTAATGCTCCTCAACCTCCTTCCTGAGGGGAGTGGGGCAAAAAGTGTGTGTGCTGGGTGAGTGTGGTCCTTCATGATGCAGGTGGCCCTCTTCCTGCATCTGGAGGTGTAGATGTCTGTGATGGTGGGGAGACTGACTCCAACATCTTCTGTGCAGCCTTCACCACTCTCTGCAAAGCTTTTCTTTCTGCAGCTGTGCAGCCTCCATGCCACACGTTGATGCTGGAGCACAGGATGCTCTCCACTGCACACCTGGAGAAGGAGGTGAGGACTGAGCTTCCAGACCAGCTCGCCTCAGCCGTCTGAGGAAGTAGAGTCTCTGATGATCTTTCTTCATCAGGCTGGTGGTGTTGTTGCTCCAGCTGAGGTTGTTGTTCATGTGTACACCCAAGTACTTGTAGCTGGAGACCACTTCCACAGTAGATCCTTCTGGCGGGGAGGGGAGGGGAAATGCTTGTTCTGTTTGAAGTCCACGACCATCTCCTTCGTCTTCTTCACATTGATGTGAAGGGTGTTCTTCCCGCACTAGCTCTCCAGATGTTCCACCTCCTGCCTGTAGCTGGACTTGTTGTTTGTGATGCATCCCACCACCGCTGTATCATCTGCAAACTTTACAATATGACAGCCTGGATGGGTAGCTGCACAGTCCTATGTGAGCAGAGTGAACAGGAGAGGGCTCAGCACACAGCCCTGAGGAGAGCCAGTGCTGAGGGTTATGGTGGAGAAGTTGTTGACTGCAGGTTGTTAAGAAGTCCAGGACCCAGTTGCAAATGGAGGGGCTTGGTTCTAGTGTGAATAGTTTGTCCATCAGTGTTTGGGGGATCATGGTGTTGAAGGCAGATGTGAAGTCCACAAAGAGCATACGCACATAGGAGTCCTTCTGCTCCAGGTGGGTGACACCTGGACAAAACATCTTTACTAAAACTTTGGTATCAGTTGTTCATCAACATTGTTGTCTGTTAGCAAAATATTTCACAATCATCTCAAAGGTGTCCTCCTGAGTCATTAATTGTTGTATTTTGTTTGTGTTTTTTTGGAGTGTACAGATAAGACATGACCTTTATATGATATGATTTTTTTTCTTTTCATTTGTAAACCTTTTTGGTAAATGATTAATAGACATTTGGAGTTAAAAAATAATAATAATAATTCTGAAAGCTGTCTGAGAAAAATGCATGTCTGGAGTAGTAAAATTGAATGTGTGCATTGTCATTTCTAATGTGTTTGGTAAAACAAGTTAAAAAAGTAACAAGTTTTGTAAAAAATAAATCAAACACACGAGCTCCAAAAAACACGTTGCTTACATTTGTCCTTGAAAAACCTACCATTGATTTTCAAGGTTCAAGGTTCTTTGTCATTGTCATCACATGTGGTACATGAGATGGAATGAAATTGTGTTCTCAAGGTCCCAGTTACACCCAAAAATAGCAAAAATATAAAGTATAAAAAGAAACAGTATACAAGGATCTAAGATCTACAATAAACGCTAATAATGCAAAATAATACTGTCAGCCTGAATATTTTTTTGTTGCGTTTTCAGGAAGTTTGCTGGTGCTGTGTTGAATATTGTGCCCGTCTCATTTTCGTTTCTTTGGAGCATGTAGAAATAAATCACTGACTTCTTGAAGCTCAAGTTCATGTCTCAGACTCCACCGTCTGTTTCCTGAGTTATTTGATGTTCTGAGCTACTTCAGCTGCATGATGATCCAACATGTTGAAGTCTGTTAGGAGCTTTATGTGTGTGTTTCTGTCTAGTAATAATATCTTGAGGGCGGCTGTGGCTCAGTGGTTAGAGCAGTCGTCCTCCAATGGGAGAGCTGGGGGTTTGATTCCACCAGCAGTCACATGCTGAAGTGCCCCTGGGCAACACACTGAACCCCTCGTTGCCTCTGATGTGTGTCCCATCAGTGCATGAATGTGATAAAGCTCTGATTAGTCTCTAGCTGTGTAGAGATGTAGTGATGCTGTGTGAATGTGTGTGGAGGTAAATGGGGGCACAGATTGTGTTGTAAAGAGCTTAGAGCATCTTGGTTGAATAGTAAGGTGCCATGGTAGTACAGTCCATTTACCACTCCTTTTACTTCTGTGTCTCCCATATGTCCAGAATCAAAGATGAAGGTGAAGCTGGCAGTGAACAAACGCAGAAAAGATGAAGAAGATGAGAAAAAGGCCGGTTTGAAAAGGCTAAAGCCTGACATGACGTCCGATCTGTCAGAGAGCAGTGACTCTGAAAACCCACACAAGAGGACCACCCCCTTCTCATGCTCCTCTTCCTCTTCATCGTCTTCCTCGTCCTCCTCCTTCTCCTCTTCATCTGAGCCCAACTCTGAGAATGAGCTGAAAAGTCGCAGTAGTGATGTAACACAGAGCTCCATTAGCAGAACTGAGGAAGAGGAGAAACAAGTGATGAAGGGATCCAGGTTGGATGATTCCCCATCACTCACTGGTTGTGCATCCCCGTGGGCGGAGCTTCAGCCAGCAGATAATTTCAAGAAGAGCACGGTAAAGGAGCCAGGTAAAATTCTTACAAAGGAAGAGGGAGATTTGGTGACAGATGGTCAGATCAGCCGGCCTGCACCGCAACAGACTCTGGTGTGTGATAGTACCCAGAGCGGGCCTACAGAGACCAGAAAGAGCATCACTAAAGGTACCTACAGCTTACAGCCTCCTCTCATATGAGCTCATCGAGAAGTTCTGATGTTTAATGTTTCTGTTGCAGTGTCTGCTCAACCCCACACGCAGTCACTGTCACAGCTCCACAGCGGCGGCATCATTGACATCACAGACGACGCACAAGCCACCGTGCACCAGGAGAGCTCGGAGGCCGTGTCGGCGCTGCTTGCCTCCCAGAGCGTCGAAACCGTTGCTTTCTCACCGTACCTGCCTCTCAACCCGTCCCCGGTCTCCTCACCTCCCATTCCTCCATCGCCCTCCCCGTCAGAGGGGTGTCGCAGGGTGGAGATGGAGCCTCTCATGAAGCAGCCAGGCAGCACAGGAAGTGGCATTCCATCACCCAAAAGTTCAAGCAGCAAGACTGAGTTTTCTCCCTCTGAGGTCATCAGGTTAGATAAAAACATCTGTAAAATACCAGAAATCATTGAGTCAACTCTGTCTGTCTGTTAGAAAAATATCCTCAGCCACTGGGCAGAGTTTTGTTATATTTTGAGCCTCATAATGACAATGTTGACATAAACAAATTGATCTTTGTGCTTCAGGGCCTGATATAATCAAAAAAGGTACTTTTGTAAGTTCTTCAGTTAGCTGCCCAGGTGAAACAAGTTACAATAATAGAAGTATTATGGTACCAGTATGGACGGGTTCTTATCTCCTGTGGGCCTTCTCGACATTTACTCAGTTTCCCACAAACCCCACATGCAAGCACACATGCACTGAAAAGTACAGAAACAAGCTTCTGTTACACTATTATAATTCATAAATACTTTATTCTAAAAATTAAATTTTTTTTAATTTAATTTAAAAATTTTATTGTTTTCTTTAAACAGTTTTAAACAAGAAGTTGTGACTTTTTCCTTTTTTTAAATGATTGAAGTGAAACTGTATTTCTGTTGTGTTTTTAAGGCCTGTCACGTCTGTAGCTGAACCTGTGCCTCTGGTGGAGAAGAAAGCTGTTCTGTCTCATCATCACCTTCATCGTCAGCAGCAGCACAAACAGCTGCAACATTACACAGCGTTCCATCATGGAGATCACCCATCTGTAACAGAAGAGATGAGAAAACTTCCACAGCAGCAGCAGCCCCCTCACAAGCTGAACACAGCCACCCCCCCTGACTCAACTAAATCCAGAATGAGCCCAAACCACGTTCAGCACGACTCCCTGAGACAGAACTCCCAGCACTACAGGAACTCTCCAGTTCACCCCTACTCCATCACAAGTCCAGCAGACCATCCTAAAACTAAGCCCCCCCATGGCCTGTTGGACACTTCTAAACCCAAACCAAACACTTCTCCAGAGGTGTCCAAGCATAAAATACTGAGGTACTCTGATACGTCCCCACCTCCACCTGGCCGTGTGCCCACTAAAGTAGACTCAGCAGAACCTCCGCTGTCTGATTTCAAGCCGCTGCGCTCGGAGGCGAGTGGAGCCAGCAGCACCAGCACCACCAGCAGCACCAAGAGTCCGCTGATCATCGACAAGAATGAGAGTTTCACTGTTTACAGGGATCCAGCACTGGTTCGCTCCGACGCCGAGAACGCTGCCTCTTCAACGAACTCTTCTAACCACGTTACAGCCTATTTACACCCTCACCTGCACACCCTTCACCCCCCCTCCCCACACTCCCCGTGCCTCACACCTGCATCACACGCCCATACTGCCTCCCATCTCCTTGGCTCTCCTCACTCCGCAGCCTTACCTCACCCCCACCTTTTACCTCCTGGAATGCTCCCAGCAATGCCTCCTCCTGCAGCCTCTCTGTTTGGAGGTCATCCTCGGCTGGACTCCCCCGGGGCTTTAGGTCACCTTGCCCTCCCTCACCCAGCAGCTACGCACCAGCAGCAGTTCATACAGGTTTAAATTCTCATAATCAGCACAGTTTCTTTCCACTTAGCTTAACGTGTTCTTTAAAACCACGCTCTCTGTTTTAGGGCCACGCCAGTGCAGCAGGGCTTGGACTGTACCCCATCATTTGGCAGTACTCTAACGGAACAGCAGCCTCCTACCCTCCTGGACTCAATCTGCAGCCCACTTCTAAGTGGGTACATTCTGAAAATCCAGTCACTGTGAATTCTGATGGTCCTCTCAGGAGGGTAAGTGTATTCATTGAAAGTCTGAAGGTTTGTGTAGGCGTAGCTGAAAAATGTAAAAGGAAGACGACTGAAGAGAATATTTCAACCACACAATTTCTGAAGGCACAACTGTAACAGGTTTCAGTGTAAAATGTAGATTAAGAAGGTTATTTGCTATTTTAGTTACTGAGATCAATAGATGGTGTTTTCATTGACCCATTTTTATTCAAATCTCAGTTACAGCAAAAATCTGTGTTCATGTTTTTTGCACTGCATTTTGTTCTCACTCTGTTTTACCAGCATGTGGATCTGAATATCTACAAGCTTTCTTTTTTAGATTTATAGATGTTTCACATTTACAGTGCATAGATTCCACATATTTTTTATTTCTTAAAAACACTTTATCTTTGTAGAGATGTACTAGAGTGCTGCATGGATGTGTGTGTGATACATTGAAATGTACAGTAGTCTCTCGTTTATCTTGGGAGATCTGTACCCTGCAGACCTGCAATACGTGAAAAACCTCAAAGTAGGAATAGTAGTACAAGTAGTAAGTAGTAGTTTATTTTTATTATATATATAACGCTCTAAAAGAACACAGAAAGTCATGATTTCATCTCCCTGCCTCCTCTGCTCTTTGCCACCTGCAAGTGCTCTTGGCCACGCCCACTTCTCCGCTGTGCACGGAGAACAGCTGATCAGCTGCAGCAGGAAGTTTATCCCGCAGCAGTAAGGGTTGCACAAAGGTGCAGGAGGTGCTAAATAATTTAAAATAATTTATTTTAAATAAAAATTATTGCGGCTTGTCCATCAATCAGCCAATTGTGTGTCATGTCCAATCTTATTTTGAAAAACTGCGATAGAGATCTTATTTTGAAAAACCGCGATAGAGCGAGTCTGCGATAAATGAACTGTGGCGCAGCGAGGGACTACTGTATTTCAAAGAGTAGTTGGTTCAAGTTAGATAAATGGATGGGTAAACGACGGGCAGGCTGAATTGTAAACCACTTTGAGTAGCCTGGTTGAATAGAAAGGTGCTATAGAAGTGCTGTTGATTTACCATTTAAAAAGACATGATTTTATATGGCTCATCTTGTAGTGTCCAGGAAAAGCTTGGCTCTACAACACTGTTGTGTTCCAGAGAGCATTAAAAGCATGGATTGTGTAAAATGTGGAAACTTAAATTGATCTAAAATAATCCACTTTTTACAGCTGAAGTTTTAAAGTCTTAGACATGTATTTTCATTATTCTTCATTATTCATTTATGAAATGGTTATGTTGCTCTTTTCATCCAGCCCAGGCTGTACTCAAATGTGGGTAGACCATGAAAGCTGACAGTTAATTATATATTTCTGTGATGCAAGTACCTCTGAACATATTGTACCTGTGCTTAATGATTTGCCATGAGGAATAATGATTTATGTGTATGTGCAGAACACTGCCAGTCCATGGCTGCATCAAACAGCTGTTAATGCTGGGGATGGTCTGGGTTTGATGAACCACATCCCAGTCCGGCCGGCCAGTGCTGACCCTCACCGCTCACATGTCAGGATTAACACAAACTCAAGTCCTCCCATGTCTAAGACCACCATGGACGTCAAGAAAGAGTAAGCAAAAAATAAATTAATTAAAACTCAGGACCATGGTCATTTCTTTACAAGAAAAAAAAGTGCAACTAAGGGATCACATTAGGTGATTGTATGTTTTGACAAAAAATTCAAAAAGGATAAAAAATAAATAAAATAGATAAAATCAAATTTTGACAAAACGTAAGTGTACCAACACAGTTACCGCACAAAATGTTAACACATTTTTATTATAATCTAAGGTCAGAAAAACCACCTATGTTTTGATGTATGGATTATATAGGAAGTGTAAAGAAAATCAAGATAAAAATTGTTAAAGCCAGTTACTCCATATGGTCATCATGGTAACCACACACTGGTCTGTCACTCCCTGAGCGATAAATGATGATACAGAGAAACGTGAACCGTATTAACAGTGAGCAACAGAAAACTCTGATAGTCCCACATAAACATTTTTATATTCCTTCAGTGATTGAAGGATAAAAGTTGAAAAGGTTGTGATCTTGTTTTAAAAAGAATATTTTGAGCTAAAGTATAATTGAAGTCTATGAAAGCTCAGGTGGGTATTAGAAATGTACACACAATTCCACTAGAAGTTTCTGTCACAGTTAGTTTGATCCAACTTGTAGTTTTCACACAGCAACAGTGTAAGTTTCAGTTTCTAGTTGTCATTTTTGTCTGCGTCATGAAAAAACTCAGCAGATATTGATTCACTGGATCTATGAGGCTACAGGTGCTTTATTAGATTATTCCATCATTACCACCCCAACAAATCCTGTGGTTAATGGTCAATATTAACTCTGTCATAGATTACAGCGTTTAAAAGTCTCTAATTAATGTGTGCAGTATGTGCTGTATATTTTCGTCAGTATATACAATGATGACATTTGTGCTTTCTCAAAACATTTCTAAAATGTTTTAGTCTTTTAAAAAGTGAGCAAACGCAACAAACTGTTGACAATGTCTGTGTGCAGAGATATGGATAAGAAAGCCTTTGTGGATCCCGTCAGAACTTTGACGTTGGCACAACTTGGGCAGGATCAGATGGACCGAAGTCGCACCCCTACAGGAAAAGATGTCCACCTTCACCGAATGTACCTCGATCCACACTGCAAGTCCCGTCTGACTAACGCACAGGTACTAAAAGGCTAGCTGGCATGAAAATCGGAACGCTTATTGTCAGGTATAAATAGATTAATTTGATTAAACATGCTTCAGTGAACACTGATATTGGAAGAATATGTCCTAAACCGTCCGTAACAATTACTTCAGTCTGGAGTACTTTTTATTGGAGTGATTTATTGTGAAATAAGTTTGGAAACGGCGAGTTCTGTGTTGCAGTTAGCAGCAAATGGTAAACATCAAGGAGTTGCAGTTAAGAAGTTACTCAGTCAGCAATGTGGTTCATCCAAACAGGGCTGTTGTAAACAAATGCTTTAGTAATCAAGTAATCTATAGATTATTCTGTCGATTAATCAAGTTATCAAAAAACTGAATTTGTCAGGTTCTGCAGTAACTACCGTACTCATTTTATGAGTAATACAAGTACACAAAAAAGAACATTAAATAAACAACACATTTAATTCCATCCATCATCTTTTACCCGCTTCTTCCATTTTGGGTCACGGGGGTCACCGGTGCCCATGTCCAGCAATCACTGTGCGAGGGCGGGGTACACCCTGGACGGGTCGCAAGTCCATCACATGGACACATAGAGACAAACGAGACAAACAACCATTCACTCTCTCTCTCAGAGACAGTTTAGAGTCACCAATCAGCCTAACATGCATGTTTTTGGTCTGTGGGAGGAAACTGGAGTACCTGGAGAAAACCCACGCAGCACGGAGAGAACATGCAAACTCCACCCAGAAAGGACCCTGGACCGGGATTTGAACCGAGGACCTGCTCGCTGAGAGGCAGCAGCTCTACCAGTTGTGCCACCGTGCTGCCTCCATTTAATTCCTCTATTTAAAATATTTTATTGCTTAAGTTTAATTATTTTTAACCATCACATAAAAATCTAAATGCTGTAAATAATGTTTATGGATTGTAAACCTGAATGTTATCTTTATGTTATAAACTGAGTAATGTACAGTTTGAGTTTGTACATGGAGTTCTGCAGACTGTTTTATTATTTAGTTTGATTGCTGAGCTATAAACAAATATAACAGAAGTAATAAATGCAGATTAATCACAGTTTTCAGTCATAAACAGCGACAAGAAGAAAAAACTACTAACTCATGTAAAAACATTTACACTTGAAATATTCACTAAGTATTAAAGTCAGGATGGAAGTTCATCAATAAATAAATGTTTCAGTCTGTTGCTGCTTTGATCTTTAACAAAGTTGCATCAAGTCGTGCACAGTTTGTTTTTCTCACACAGCGTACAGACTCTGCCAGGAAGCCACTATGATTAGTCACTAGATTTAATGTTAGTAAAATATGCCTCATTTTACATCTATAGCATGACAGATGATCACACATGTAGTTTAATGTATTTTGCACAGAGAACATGATCCCTGTTGCAGCTGAGGACGAGTTTGATGCTACAGCGGCTGTTTTCTCCTCAGACGCTGCAACATGGACGACGTGCTGTTGTGGATACTCCAGTTCTGTTTGCACTGGAAGCATTGGGCTGTGTCGTCGTTTCTGTTGAGCCTAAAATGTTCCCAGACTTTTGACAGTTCTTGTTGTTTTCTGAGCTCTTCGGATGTTTCCTCCATAGCTACAAACTTAGCACATGCGTGTTAGCAGAAGTGCTAGCGTTGTGCAACACGAAAACCCTCCAGCTAGACCACAGTGCTCTGAACAGTTTAACGAAGCTTCCAGGAAGATAAATTTACCTCGAGGATTTTTTGTAATGGAGGTCCTCGAATGATTCGAGGAATCGTTTCAGCCCTACATCCAAAAGCTGGTAAAATCTGTGTCCAGGTTTTTCAAGTCACGACAGGATCGCTCCTATTGTGTATTACATTCACATTCATACTGCACATTTTTTGAAAAAAACACATTCTTGAATTTTTGGCTCACAGCATAGTCTACTTATGTCTCTTTAAAATGGCAAATAGTTACATTGACATCAACTATGTTTTTAGTTTGCTGATGACAAACTTTTTTATACAGCTCAGGAAACCCTGCATGTATTGTCATGAGTTAGCAAATACCGTAGCTCCAAAAGGGTGGCAAAAATTACATTTTACTGCCTGTTACATCATACAAAAAATATATTTTAAATTATAGTAATAGTACATTGGTGGTATTGCATGTAGCTCTATTGCTACCAGCAGAAGAAATATCAGAATTTCAACTGTTGCAAGTAGCTACTGAACTGCTCTTGTTTTTAACGTTGAAAGACTTTCATACAGCAAACATTCTGGCACATCACAACAGCAGCTCTATGGGACCCATAAAGTGATACAGCTGAAGTAAAACTGAACCAAATCAGATCAAAAACTGAGCGTGGCAGCTACTCCAGTACTGACAAATCAAAGATGCCTCGATCCGTACTCCAATGTGAAACTTGCTCTGGACATCTCTAGTAATAGATGCTGTAAAAGAAACTCATTTTGTCTTGTGGAAGAATAAACCTGCAACTTTAATGCCATTAATATATCCTTGGCCTGTGCATCATTGTAATGGGTAAAAATGCACATTGATCTTTTTGTAGTTCCTGTTTTTTATGTCAATAGCATTTATCTTAAAACCAGATGTGCTGTAGATTTATATTTTTGGTATGCATTGTTGAGCAGTTGTCTCCCGTTTAATCTCCTAAGACCCGGACTCTTGCATATGTGGATGCCAGGTTGTCCACATATGTGGATGCCAGGTTGTCCACATGTGTGGATGCCAGGTTGTCCACATGTGTGGATGCCAGGTCCTAGGAAGTTAAAGGTTTATAGTTCAATTGTCACGTTCATTGTCCAAGCTATTGAGCCTCGACTTGTCCCTGCCTTCACTGGTGTATAAAAGTAAATCTTTTTTATTGAAAATGCTTTAAGCGTGTGAAAGATGAAGCTTTGGATGAATACAGTAAGTTTATAGGAATTGCACACCAAAGTGGTTGAGGTGGTTAAAGTACAACAACATGGGTTGTTACTATGTTCCAGTTTTTAAAATATTTGTACTTTTTGTTTTTCAGGAAGCACTTCAGACGACAGACCGAGCTACTAAATACAAAGAGGATAACCGTCAGATCTTGAAAGAGAGCATTGAAGTTGCACCTTTCACAGCAAAGATCCAACGTTCTGTTGACCCCGTCGTGAACAGGGACAGAGGACGCAAAGATCAAGTATTTCCTGTCCGGGTGCCACCTCTTGCTTCTCAAAGTCCAAAGACAAGCCACACTCATCCTCATGTCATACAGACAGAAAAAAGTGGCTACTATACCACACTGTCCAACAGCATCGTAAATGAGCCTCCAAGACTGTACCCTTCCAAGGAGGGATACGGTCTTGGAGGCTCAGTTGGAACTTCAGGGATTGGTACTAGTGTTGGGGCTCAGTCCTTGATAAATTACACCCCCAAAGCCTCCCTTTCCAAGCCCCCACCACTCATTAAACACCAACCAGAAGGAGGAGAAGGTTTAGCAGTCAAAATCACTGAACAGCTCAACCAGCAGGTCACATTTGTCCAACCTCAACATCACATAAGTGTCGACAGAAAAGAACGCTACAATCCTGCCATTTCCCCTCCCTCTGCCACATCGTCCTCCTTATCCTCAGTCTCCAACCATCACCATCATCACCTACAGCAGCAGCAACACCAGCTTAGGGCAATGCCATCTCTATACCGAGCACCTGTTTACCACCCACCCACACAATTTGCACTGGAACGCAAAGAACCTGCAGAACAAGAGAAAGAAAAGGACAAATCTGTTTATGGGGGACGGTTGTCACCACCAACACTCACACCCATACAGCCAGTCACTTTAGTTACATCTGGCACCAAAGCATCAGTTGAGCAGCAGAAGCCGCCAACTCTTGTACCAGAACTCAGGGACATCAAAGGTCATGGAATCACTGCTGCAGTCATCTCTATGGCATCTACCGTTGGTGGGGATATTATGGCAGATAGATGGAGAAAAAGAGAGACAGTTCAGGAAAGAGAAAGTGTGTTGTATAGAGAAAAAGAGGGTTCCAAGTGTAAGCCCCAAGCAGCAATGGCATCAGTAATTGTGCGACCAACAACATCTGTTAAGTATGAAAGTCCTCTTGATATGAACAAATCTAGTGCTTTTATTCCCAAGGAGTTTCTCACAGGAAGGTTGTACCCATCCAAGCTTCAAGAGGAACTACCAAGGTTTAGAGATGGTGTTCGAGAACCTGGAGCTGGCAGAGTTATTCAATCAATCTCAAACTTGGATGACATGTCTGTCCGGTATAAAAACTCTTCCATGCATGGTATACAAAGCCTTGCATGTGCCAACACTACCAGTTCTTTTTGCAGGTCTGCTGTTGTAGTCTCATCAGGTGTTGATGTACAGAATGAAACCCCCAAATCAGAGCACTCAACTTTGGAACAGTCTGCTGCCCATAAAACTGGTGCTGGAAACTGGGTTCATATCCATTCAGGACCAGACCGAGAAAACCATGAGGGCTTTGACCCAACTTCCACATCACCAGGGTTGTATTCACCTATTTTCACTTCAGCAGGAACACCCCTACCCAGTCAAAATTTCATCCCAGCACCCAGCTCCATTTCTGGCTCAGGTCAACCTTATTCTTGTTTTGTTCATCCCAAAAAGCTCAAAGCTGCTTTAGCTGCAGCCCAGTCCAGAAGCAACCTCCCTACTGCTCCTGCATCCTCAACAGCTGGAAACTCCTCCTTAATTGTTGATTTAATGGACAAAACTCCCAATCATAGTTCCACCCCTCCACCCTGTTTGAGCCAAGTCTCATCAACCTCGGGAGACAGCAGTAGCAACAACTCTGCAATTGGTAGCGCATCACCAGAAAAGACCAGCCCTTTACCGAATGGTCAGTCTTTGGCGTTGGCCTCGGTTAGCTGTGGGCAGCCCATTAACTACCACAAGCTGAAGAAGGCCTGGTTAACTCGGCATTCTGAGGAGGACAGGAATATTCCAACTACAGTTAGCACTTCTATTACTAAAGCAGAAAAACTGCTCACCACCATGACCAGCACGTGTAACACTACTGCCATGACAGATATGATCAAACCTTGTACGGTCAACCTTTGTGCCTCCACTTCAAATGAGGTGGAGATGAGCAAAGACAGTGGAGGCAAGGGGGATAAAGAGAGGCAGCTGGAGGAGAAGAGTGCAGGAGGAGGTGTGGAGGAAAAGAAATCGACTCCATCAAGGCGTGGGAACAAGCGCTCATATGACTCTGGTTCAGAAAGTGGGGGAGATGACTCCGATGTTAGTGAGAGCAAGATGGAGGGTCGAGCCAAACGTCAGCCTAAACCAACCTACAAGAAGAAACAGAATGACATGGCCAAGAAGAAGGGGGACACTGAGAAAGAGGAAGATGACGTGAAGCCCAATGGGATCTTTAGATCAGCCCGAGAGAAGACTAAACTCAAACTTGCCAGCACTAGTAAGTTCTACCTCTTAATCTTTGTTTTTAAAAGTTGTTGCTCTAAGTTAGTAACAAGTTTTAACCCATGGAAGGTATTTGTGTTTGTGTCTATTGATTGTGTGTGTATTGTCAGGAAACACTGCCTTCCTGACAAATCCTAAAAATCTTTTCAAATGTTTTTAACTTTGACAAAATTGTTTGGCATTGCAGTCCAAGCAGTCTTTATCGCACTCACTGATATTACGGTGACTAAAAATGTTCTATATGTTGTGCAGTGCTGTTGTATTGTTTTACTATTTCTTCAACATCCATCCATCCAGTTTCTTAAGTAAGTAAGTAAGTAAAGTTTATTTATAAAGCGCTTATCACAGACATAAAATCACAAAGTGCTGTACAAAAAAAATCACTGCTAAAATATACAAAGAATAAAACAAGCCTAGGAACTACAAGAAGCACAATAAAAGTCTGGGAGAACAAAAGTGTTTTCAGTTGTTTTTTAAAAACCTCCACAGAGTCAGCAGAACGAAGCTGCAGGTCAAACTGTTCCACAGCCTGGGGGCCACTGGCTGAAAGGCCCCG